CCTGATATACTCCTCTGTGATGTAATAAACTAATCATTATATCATCATTAGGAATGGTAATGTCATACACAACCATTGTATTGTCACAAAAACATAGTGATGTCATAAACCTTTCTCATACTGTAAATATAACTTTATTATGTCAGTATCCCTCTGAGGTCATGAATCAAGCAATTTGCCATCAAAATCAATTTTGATGTCATATCATTATTTTGTTTTTATAATATCATTGTATTGTAGTATTGATTTTTGATAGTATTTGTGATAGTATTGATTTGTGATAAACCATCATCACCATACATTTGTGATAAATATATCATACTAAGAAGGGGCCATCAAAGAAGGAGGTACCTTTCTCTGGAGTGAGGAGAGAACTTCCACTTTGATTATGGCCCTGTCTAAATAATGTCAGTTTGTGGAATCTAAAGGCTTCCATAGCCTTAGCAGATCATGACAAAAGCCTCTGGTGATCACTGATGTCATAAATAAGTGTGTCAATTGTTAAATCAACAATAGGAATCACTGTGCACTTGTTCCCCATATAAGACCTCTGTCCTTAGTGAGTTGTACTATGAAAATTAATGGTAAAACTGGTTTTCAAACAGTACTTTATACTTTGTGTGTCTGTGTGGGTGCAAACTGTTGAAATGTTTACTAAGAGCTGATCTTCTATATATAAAGGTAATTAAAGGGGCCAGCACGGTTGCATAGTGGGTAAAGCTGCCACCTGCAATGCCAGCATCCCACATGGACACCAGTTCAAGTCCCGGCTACTCTACTTCCAATCCAGCTCTCTGGTGTAGCCTGGGAAGGCAGTTAAAGACGCCCCAAGTCCTTGGGCCCCTGCACTCATGTGGGAGACCTGGAAGAGGCTCCTGGATCCTGGATCTAGATTGGTGCAGTTCTGGCCATCATGGTCAATTAGGGAGTGAACCAGTGGGTGGAAAATCTCTATCTCTCCCCCCTTCCCCCATCTTCCTCTCCTCTCTGTGTAACTCTAACTTCCAAGTAAATAAATAAATCTTTAAAAAACAAAGATAAGTAAAAATGAATCATAAAGGAGAATGGGAGGTGGGAGGGAGTGTGTGGGGGGAAGAACTGCTATAATCCAAAAGCTGTACCTATGAAATTTATATTAAATAAAAGCTTTATTAAAACAAAAATATATCATACTCCCATGGTAATCTCCTAATGATACCATTGTGCAATCATTAAAATTGTGATGTCATAATACAACCATTGTAATTTCATAATAAATTTTGATGTCATAAATCAAAATTGTAATGCCATTTAATGCATTGTGATGTTGTAACTAATAGGTTTACTTTAAATCACAATTCTGATGTCACATACTACAAATATTGTGCTGATATAATCAATGTTGATGTCATAAATAACTTTTTTTTTAAAAAAGATTTGTTTTTTTTTAAAGTCAGAGTTACACAGAAAGGGAAGGAGAGGCAGAGTGAGAGAGAGAGAGAGAGGTCTTCCACCCACTGATTCATTCCCTCAACTGGCTGCAACAGCCAGAGATGTGCGGATCCGAAGCCACATTGTACAACACATTAAGTACAGAGATCCTACATGAGGAGTAAGTGCACAGTGACTCCTGATGTTGATTTAGCAAATTGACACTCTTGTTTATGGTGTCAGTAATCACCAGAGGCTCTTGTCATGAGTTGCCAAGGCTATGGAAGCATTTTGAATTTGCCAACTCTGATCTTATTTAGGCAAGGTCATAGTCAAAGTGAAAGTTCTCTCTTCCCTTCAGAGAAAGGTACTTCCTTCTTTGATGCCCGTTCTTTCCACTGGGATCTCACTCACAGAGATTTTTTTTTTTTTTGCCAGAGTGTCTTGGCTTTCCATGCCTAAAATACTCTCATAGGCTCTTCAGCCAGATCTGAATGCCTTAAGGGCTAATTCTGAGGCAAGAGTCTGTTTAGGGCATCTGCCATTCTATGAGTCTGCTGTGTATCCCGCTTCCCATGTTGGATCTAAACTCCCTTTCTGATTTAAGCTTACCATTGTGCTATCATAATTAATTGTGATGTCATACATCAAAATGTGCTAAAATAATCAAAATTATATTGTCATAATACAACATTGTACTGCCATAATTACATAGTGATGACATTTTGGTATCACAACCTACTATTGTGATGTCACAGTCAAGTGTGTTGTCAAAAACCATCTATTATGCCATCCTAACCAATTGTCCTGTCATAGACCACCATAAAATATTTCAGAAGTGTGATGTCCTAATCAATATATGATATGCCACTATTGTGATATAATAAACTTACTGGTGTGCCATCACAAATAGTTATGATGACATAAAACTACTGTGTGCCATCATAATCAATTTTGATGTCATAAACTGACATTTAATATCATAACATTGAGATATCATAATCTATTTTCTGATAAACCACATTTTTATATCATAAACATACCATTGTGATGTCATTATCAATTGTGATGTCATACATAAACTATGTCATCATAACCAATTTTGATAAACAAACACAACCATTGTATTGTGATAAAAAACATAATATAATCTATGTTCTGTGATAAACTGCCATTCTGATACTATAATGCTATAACTGTGATGTCAAAACTAATTCTGATGTAATATACCAATTTTTAAGATGTCATCATAGGGACTGGCAATGTGGCGTAGCAGGTAAAGCTGCTGCCTGCAGTGCCAGCATCCCATAAGGGCACTGGTTCAAGTCCTAGCTGCTTCACTTCCCATCCAGCTCTCTGCGATGGCCTGGGAAAGCAGTGGAAGTTGCCCCAAGTTCCTCAGGCTCCTGCACCCATGGGGGAGACCTGGAAAAATCTCCTAGCTCCTGGCTTCAGATCAGTGCTACTCTGGCCATTGTGGCCAATTGGGAAGTGAACCAAAAGATGGAAGACCTCCCTCTTTCTCTCTCCCTCTTTGCCTCTCCTTCTTTCTCTGTGTAACTATGACTTTCAAATAAATCTATAAATAAATAAATAAACAACCAAACAAACAAATCTTTAAAAAGAGATGTCATCATAAATGTTGGTGTTATAAGTCATCCAATGTGATATCATAATCAATTGTGATGTCAAAAATTAACTGTTTTGTCATAAAATTGTGATATCATAATCAATTGGTATCTGACAGCCATTCTGTAATTATAAATTTACCAATGTGATACCCTATAGTTTGTGATGTCATAAACTAAACAATGTCCCATCATAATCAATTTTAATAAAATAAAACATCATATTGACCTAGAAATCTGTTGTGAAAAGCATTTTGTGGAGCTGGCACTGTGTAGTAGTGGGTAAATTTGCCTCTTGAAGTGTTGGCATTCTGTATGGGTGCCAGTTTGAGTCCTGGTTGCTCCACTTCTGATCCAGCTCTCTGTTATGGCCTGGGAAAGCAGTAAAAGGTGACCCAAGTGCTTGGGCCCTTGCACCTGCATCAGAGACCCGGAAGAAGCTCTTGGTTCCTGGATTTGAATTGGCCCAGCTCTGGCAGTTGCAGCCATTTGGGGAGTGAACCAGTGGATGGAAGATCCCCTCTGGTAACTCTGCCTTTCAAATAATAAATAAATGAATCTTTTTTTTTTTAAATCAATTGATCAGCCCTTGTCCTGACTGTCAAGGAACAACTTAATACTTTATTCTTTTTAGTATTTTTTTTTTTACTTAAAACCATTGGTTGAACTCTTTAATTAACACAAAATTATTCTTAGGTATTTAAATTTAACTGAAAAGTGATTCCTGTTAAATATAAGAGTGGGAACAAGAGGAGGAGATGTACAGTTCAGCACATGCTAAATCGGACTTGCCCCTAATCCTAATGGTAGAGTTAGAAACGTGCAAGGGATTCCAATTCGATCCTATCAAGGTGGCATGTACCAATGCCATGTCACTAGTCAAAAGGATCAGTTTCAGTTCATAATTGATCATAATAATAGGATTAAAAGTCAAAGGGACCACATAAACAAGGCTACTGTCTGCTAATACTGATAGAATTAAAAAGGAGAGAACAATCCAACATGGGATGCGGGATACACAGCAGACTCATAGAATGGCAGATGTCCTAAACAGCACTCTGGCCTCAGAATCAGCCCTTAAGGCATTGAGAGCTAGCTAAAAAGCCGATGAGAGTATTTCAGACATGGAAAGCCAAGGCACTATGGCAAAAGAAATGACCTAAATGAAAGATCTCTGTGAGTGAGATCCCAGAGGAAAGAACGGGCCATCAAAGAAGGAGGTACTTTTCTCTGGAGGGAGGAGAGAACTTCCACTTTGTGCCCTTGTCTAAATAAATCTGAGTTGCTGAACTCAAGAGGCTTCCCTAGCCTTGGCAGCTCATGACAAGAGACTCGGGTGATTACTGACATCATAAATAAGTGTGTCAATTGTTAAATCAACAACAGGAGTCACTGTGCACTTACTCCTCATGTAGGATCTCTGTCCTTAATGTGTTGTACTATGTGAATTAGTGGTATAACTAGTACTCAAACAGTACTTTATACTTTGTGTTTCTGTGTGGATGAAAATTGTTGAAATCTTTACTTATTATATACTAAGTTGATCTTCTGTAGATAAAGATAATTAAAAATGAATCTCAAGGAAGAATGGGATGGGAGAGGGAGTCAGAGATGGGATGGTTTGTGGGTGGGAGGGTGGTTATGGGGGGGAAGCAGCTATAATCCAAAAGTTCACTTTGAAAATTTATATTCATTAAATAAAACTTAATAAAAAGCAATTGGTATGTGATAAATTATTCTGGTATTATAGATGAGCATTGTGCTGTCATAATCAATTGTGATATCATAGTCCTACCATTGTGCCATCATAACCCGTCATCATACTGTCATAAAACACACTATGATATCATAATAAATTTTCAAATGATGAACCACCATTCTGATAACATAAGAATTCCCTTTTGCCAATATAATCAATTCTGATGTAAAAGCCTGCTGTTGCTGTAATAAAGTACCATGATGCAATCAGCCAGAGCATTATGACATCAGAATTAATTTTGATGCTGTTAATCACAATTGTTATCATAAGAAATTTTGATGTTATAATCAATTGCTATGTGGTAAACCATGATTCTGATATAAAATACCATTGTGATGTCAATTACTATGCCATTAACCTACCATTGTGCCATCATAAAAATTGTGATGTTATAAACCAATCATCTTGCTACATCTACCAATTTTGATGTCATAAACCGCTGTTGTATTTTCATTTAACACATTGGAAGATTATGTTTGTTATGTTAAACCTCATTTCTGTTATGATCCTGTCATTGATATCATAATCAATTGTGTTATCATAATGAAAACAATATGCCATCATAAGAAATTGTGATGTCATAGATCAACATTATATTGTCATAATAACATTGTAGTATAATCAAATGGTCTGAGTAAAAAACCATTCTGATATCATAAACCTACATTTGTGATATCATCATCAAAATGATATAATCTTTTCTGCCTTCATACCAATATTGATGTCATGTACCACCTTTATTGTCATAAAACATCATGATATAATCTATTGGTTTGTGATAAGCTGTCATTCTGATACCATAATTTTGCATTTGTGATTGTGATGTCAACAAATCTGTTGTCATATCTCATATATTGTGATGTCATAATTAATGAATTCATAAATTTACTACTGTGATATGACACCAATTTTGATATGGTTGTGATGTCATAATAAATTTTGATATTATAAACTTACCATTTTGGTGTCCTAAATGATTGTGATTCAATAATCCACATTGTGAAATCATAGTTAATTTTGATGTTATAATTGATTGACTTCTGATAAACATTCATTCTGATATTATAAACCTACCATTGTGAAGTCCTAATAATTTGTGATGTCATAATCCAAATTTTATGACATCATAATGAATTTTGAAATCATAAACTGCCATTGTATTATCAAAAAACATTATGTTGTCATAACCAGTTGATACATGATCAATTATAGTTCTGATAGTATAAACATACCAATGTGCTATTGTAACAAATTGTGATATCATAAACCTACCATTGTTCTTTCATAAACTTTGGTGTCATCATGATATTGTCATAAGACACATTGTGAAACTGTTATCAATTTTTATGTTATTATCTACCATTCTGATATCAACCTAACATTCTATCATAATCAATTCTGATATTAAAAATGTTTCTGATGCCATAATTAGTTGTGATGTCATAAACATTATACCATATAATCAATTTGAATGTAATAAACTGTCACTCCCCCTCTTCGTGGAGGAGCAACACAGGACCCTGCGCTGTTCTTTCTGTCTGCTCGGCCCTCCCCGGGTTTGCTGCTGGTTCTTCCCGGGTTGGCTACTATCCCTTCCACCTCCGTGGAAGGGCAGTTCCCCCTGGCCACATTCCCCACTTCCGCAGGGGAGCGGCACACCGCCGGCCGGCTTTCTCGGGGGCTGCACGGGTTCCCTTAGATGTTCCCCATAGATGTTCCTGGTGCATGCCGTCTCTCTCCTCCTTTATAGTCCTCCTCCGCCAATCCCAACTCGGCTGCCCACACGCCGAGTACGCTGCTCTCCTCCAATCAGGAGCAAGTCCTACAGTTTATTGGCTGAACTGGAGGCACCTGTGTAGAAGCTGTTTACTTCTCTCCCAACGCCACATTGTGGGAGAGCAGATGCATAGAATAAGTCTTAATTCGAGTAACTTAGTCTAGTCCGGATTGCTCCCCACAATAAACCCCTTTATATTGCCATAATAATATAGTATCATACATTCTGATATCAGAAACATACCCTTAATATGTCATTGTCATAACATTGTTTTGTCATAATCAATTTTGATGTAATAAAGCTACCATTTTTCTTTCATAAAATTTTTTGTTAAATCATCACACATTGTGTCATAATAAAATTTGATGTCACAAATACCCTTGCTTTGTCAAAAAAAGTAATGTTGAAATAAAATGTTAAATGAATTTGGAAAACATCATGCTGAGTGAATTGAGCCAGTCCCAAAGGGACAAATATCATATGTTCTCCCTGATCGGCGACTACTAACTGAGCACCAAGGGGGAAACTTGTTGAAATGAAATGGACACTATGAGAAACAGTGACTTGATCAGCTCTTGTCCTGACTGTTGATGTACAATGTAATACTTTATCCATTTTAGTATTTTTTTTGTTCTAGTACCATTGGTTGAACTCTGTAATTAACACACAATTATTTTAGGTGTTTAAATTTCAACTGAAAAGTGGTCCCTGTTAGGAATTTGGAAAACATTATGCTGAGTGTAATAAGCCAATCCCAAAGGGACAAATACCACTTGTTCTCCTTGATAAGTGACAAATAACTGAGCACCAAAAAGGAAACCTGTTAAAGTGAAATGAACACTAGGAGAAATGGTGACTTGATCAGCCCTCACCCTGACTGTTGATGAGCAACTTGATATGTTATCCCTCTTAGTATTTTTTTTTGTTTGTTCTACTTAATACTTTTGGTTGAATACTGTAATCAATACACAATTCTTCTTAAGTGCTGAAACTTAACTGAAAAGTGATCGCTGTTAAATATAAGAGTGGGAATAAGAGAGGGAAGAGATGTGCAATTCGGGACATGCTCAAGCTGACTTACCTCAAACGGTAGAGTTAGAAACATACCAGGGGATTCGAATTCAATCCCATCGAGGTGGCACGTACCAATGCCATCTCACTAGTCCCAGTGATCAAGTTCTGTTCACAATTGATCATAATGATAGGACTAAGAACCAAAGGGATCACATAAACAAGAATAGTGTCTGCAAATACTAGCTGATAGAATAAAAAAGGGAGAGAATGGTCCAACATGGGAAGTGAGATACACAGCAGACCCATAGAATGGCAAATGTCCTAAACAACACTCTGGCCTCAGAATCAGCCCTTAAGGCATGCGGATCCGGCTGAAATGCCCATGAGAGTATTTCAGGCATGGAAAGCCAAGACACTCTGGGGGAAAAAAAACCTAAATGAAAGATATCCACGAGTAAGATCCTAGTGGAAAGAATGGGTCATCAAAGAAGGAGGTACCTTTCTCTGAAGGGAGGAGAGAACTTCCACTTTGACCATGGCCTTGTTTAAAAATGATGAGAGTCAGTGAACCCAGGGGGCTTCCATAGCCTTGGCAGCTCGTGACAAGAGCCTAGGGTGATTACTGATGCCATAAACAAGAGTGTCAATTTGTTAAGTCAACAACAGGAGTCATTGTGCACTTACTCCTCATGTAGGATCTTTGTCCTTAGTGTGCTGTACATTGAGATTTAATGCTCTAACTAGTACTCAAACAGTATTTTTCACTTTATGTTTCTGTGTGGGAGCAAACTGTTGAAATCTTTACTGAATGTATGCTAAACTGATCTTCTGTATATAAAGAGAATCGAAAATGAATCTTGACATGAATGGAAGGGGAGAGGGAGTGGATAAGGGGAGGGTTGCGGGTTGGAGGGACGTTATGGGGGGGAAGTCATTGTAATCAATATTCTGTACTTTGGAAATTTATATTCATTAAATAAAAGTTAAAAAAAAACACAATAAATTGGCGTTTCATGCTTAGAAATCTACAGGCAAAAAAAAAAAAAAAGGATTCAAATTCTACCTCTACCGGCTGACACCGTGGCTCAATTGGCTAATCCTCTGCCTGCAGTGCTGGCATCCCAGGTTCTAGTACCAGTTGGGGTGCCAGCTACTAGCCCCAGTTGCTCCTCTTCCAGTCCAGCTCTCTGCTGTGGCCTTGGAGGGCACTGGAGGATGGCCCAAGTGCTTGGGTCCCTGCACCTGCATGGGAGACCAGGAAGAAGCACCCAGCTCCTGGCTTTGGATCGGCACAGCACCGGCCATAGTGGCCATTTGGAGAGTGAACCAATGGAAGGAAGACCTTTCTCTCTGTCTCTCTCTCTCACTGTCTAACACTGCCTGTCAAAAAAATTAAATTGTACCTCTACCAACTACAATTTGTGTTACCTTAGGCAAAATATAAAACCATGATAACTGTCCTTCTTCTGTAAAATGAAGATGATTATTGTACTTCATAGGCAGGTTGGATCAAGCAAATTAACATATAGACAGCACATATCTAGTAGTAGTGTTAGTATTATTGTCAGATATTATTTATATATATTATATAATATGATTTGATATTTTATATTACTTGTCTAGATAGAATTAAAACATTGATTATTCTTTCTTCTGTTAAAGGTAAAAAGACTGTGCATTCATTTGTTTTAATTTTTAGATTGAAATTAAAGTTTGTGTATATCATATACATCAACTAATCATACATTCTAACAATACTGTTCAATGACTTTTGGTACATGTATACAGGTGGGTAACCATTGCCACAATCCAGCTTTAGGAAAGTCCCATCACTCCAAAAGTTCTTACAAGCTTTTTTGAAGTCTTTCTCTAATTTTACCAATTTTACCCAGCAGACCCATGTAAGTCATAAACTGCTATCTCTCCATATATATTTGCCTTTTCTATACAAATGGAATTATAGAATATGTAAAAAAAAAGACTTTGGTAGAATGAGGTGTGTGGTTGAAGAAGGCTTGGAGGGGCAATGGTTTTATGCTGTGCAGTGCTCCAATGAAGAGAAAAATCAGTAGAAATTCAATTTATTCTTTCCTCCATTTTGGAATCTCCCAAACCCACATTCAATAAAACCATGAGATTGCAACCATTCTATTATTTTCACAGCAACATGTTGTAAGCAATGACCAGAATCACAAAACCATCTTTGAGAATTGTGGTGTTTACTTTGAAATATGAAAGGAAAATATTCCATAATGCAGTTCCAAGGATACAAAATAACAGTTAATGTCAATTAACTGACATGAAAAACCTAGAACATATTTTAAGTGCAAAAGCCATCATACATTTTAAATAGAAATCTATTATGCTCCTTGCTTCATTCAATAATCCTATAAACTCCTAAAGTACAGGACTGAATTCATAGACTACACTTGTTACACTACAGGCATGGACAGACACACATATTTTCAATAAATTCTTTCTGAGTTTATGAATGAACTTTACCAAGAAGCTAAGAAAACACAGTTTTCTGATTATATCAAGCATTGAGAAATCTAATTGGGATGATTTGAGTGATGCACCTGGCCTTACATGTCAGTATTACTCTTTCTTGAGAGGTATAGAAATTTTCCATAGCAGCTCTCTAATGAAAATTGAGGTGGAATGCAGTGTTAATTCTAAGAAACAGTAAAACAGCTTTGTAGGATCAACATTAGAATAGAGTCCTATTGCCACAACACGTGTGTCACATTATATTGTGATTACCAAGAAAAACATAGAGAGTATATTCATTCTAAAACTAGTAAGAAAATATGTAAATGAGCTATTTAGCCAGCAAACTTTCCAATAATTCATTTTGCAAAAGTTTCTCCATTCCTTCTGGTTCCCATCTGCCTCTGGGTTTATGTTGCCACATATTCAGTCCATCCCAATCTTGCTTTACATGTGAAAATAGAATGAGGATCTTTCTAATGTAATTGGACCTAGATATTTACATATTAAAATATATTATTCATTAAACACTTACTGTTTACCTATTTTAAATCATCATTTGAGATATGTGGGATAGATGAATAAAACTGATACAAATCAGTGGATTTGTAAACCTTACATTGTATGAGAACCACAGTTTGTCAGACACTGAATTGTATGAGAACCAGTTTGTCAGACACAGAATCATTTTGTTTTTATTTATTTAAATGGCAAAGTAAAAGATAAAGAAGGCGGTAAAGAGAGATAGGGAAGAGTGTGATGAGGGAGAATAGAGGGAGAAAGCATCCAACCACTGGATCAATCATCGAGTGCCCATCTTTAAGACTGAATCAGTCCAAAGTCAAGAGCCAGGAACTCCATCCAAGCCTCCCAGAGGTGTGGCAGGACACAAGCCCTTGCACCATCCTCTACCGCTTTCCCAAGTACATCAATAGCTAGCTGAATGGTGGTTGCTAGCATTCAATGCAGCACTCCAATATGAGATGTGAGCATTCCAAGCTGTAGCTTAACCTGCTGAGATGCAATGCCTACCACACACTGAATTATTTTACACAAGTTACACATCCCTCACAACAAGGAGGCAGGTGCCTTTATCATCCACACTTTATATGAAGTTGTAATAAATGTTTAAATGCATGGCTACATGTCCAGTTTTACACACACAGGAATGATTCCAATCCATGCATCTAACTCCAAAGCATACAGACTTAATCATGACAAAACCCCACACTTGATGAAATGCTGGTAGCACACAAATATGTAGAAAGAGAGGCATACTATACAATTATTCCCTAGCATGCTAATTTGTAATTGTCCCAATTATGTTTACTTCCCACAAGAAAGGGTGCTTTATGAGCCAAGCAGGCCTTAGAATACAGGAGTTAAGGGAACACCTTACTGTTTGTTGTCCAGCTACTTGGCCTCTTTTGGCCTCAGTTTCCTTATGGATAAAAAAAACCCACAATGTTCAACTCACAGAGTAACAGAGAGAATGAAAAACAAATGTGTGCAGAATGCTTGGCTCACAAGAAGCACAATAAATTGCTGCTGCTATCAGTATTCCTAGACACAGCACTGGCTCCCACAGCATGAAGCCAAAGCTGGGTATTCAGTAAATCACTGAAAAAATATAGGTTTTTGGGTTTTTCTCATATCTTCCAGGTTCCTTGGATATTTCTACTCACTCAACAAACATTTGAGCAGTTTCTATTCCATGTTAGGCTGTTCAAAGGGTTAAACCAAACAGAAAAGTTGTCTACTACTCATTACATAATGCTATGGTTGTCACCCCCTAACTGGCCTTCCTTCCTAATACAAAATTAGAAGGCAGGCACTCTCTCTAGGCAAATTTACCAACATATTAAACATCTAACCCTAATGTCACTTGAATTATTTTATCATATTCTTGCAAATCAATGCAGTCTGAAAATGATTTCTTTTTTTAACCTGTAAAAATAGGCTGGTTGGAATTATGATTGTGAGGCAGAATGTTAAGCTTCCACCTGCAATAAGTTACAAATGCAAATTTCAAAACACATATTTCCATTATGTGGTGATTAACTGAGGCAAATTCTACTATGGCCTTGCTTGAGTGTTGATGCTGCAGAGTTAATTGAGGAAATGCACAGGCCCTTTGTCAGCATACCCCATCTGTACAAAGCATTAGGCTTGGTGGAGAAGATATTCCAGACTGTCCATGCCAACCAAGGATGAGAAACCGTAAATGAGAAGTGGGGAGAAACAATACCAGGGTTCATGGTAAAAGGAAGAGTCCCGCCTTAATATGTTGACCATGCAGGTATACTAAGGACTTGTCCTCCTTTTCGCCAATGACCCAGCAGGCTGGAAAACCACACTGATGAAGTAATACCTGATTCAGTGTCCAAGAAGACACAATTATCTAGGCTATGAGCCCAGTAAACAGATGACTGTCACCCACAGAGGTGCCTGTGGGGTGCATGAACTACTGTGCCAAGGGACCTACTATGGAGACTATCTGGGGGGAAGAGCCACATCAGTGCCGAGGAGTGTCTGAAGCAACACATGAAGTTTATCTGAAATGAGACAACTTGGGATCCCCCTTCAACACAGCATCTAATAGTGACCACTTTGATGTGGATGGCCAGATGTGGTATCAGCTTGTGGAAAGTGGATGAAGAGGTGTCAGGCAGAACAGCACCTGATGGCACACGTTTAGCTTCATAGTTCCGAGTGACAAGCACAGCAGGAATGTGCTGCTGTGAACACTCCATTGCGTGGATGTACTTGGGTTTTTCTAGAGTGTTGAGGGTCTGCACAGCTTAAATTCAGGGGCTATGACCATCAGGGCCAGGAGAGTTGGTTTGGACTGTTGTAGGGCTCCTCTTAAAATAACAGAGGGGTGAGCATTGGGGAACAGCATGTAAGATGGCTCTTTCGAGACCCACATCCTATATTAGAGTGTGTAGGTTTGAGTCCCACTCCACTTCCAATCCAGCTTCCTACTAAAGTGCACCCTAGGAGGCAGCATATAATAGCTCAGGTACTTGGGTCTGTGCCACCCACACCGAGTTCTGGGATTTTCACTTCATAAAACCTGATGTTTTCACATCACAACCTGGCTGAATTCCAGCTATTGTGACTATATGGAGAGAACAGTGGATGAGAGATCGCTGTGCCTTTAATGTGAATAAAATTAATTTTCAAAATTTAAATAAACCTCCTGCATCCATGTGGTCAGACTGGGACTATTCCAGTTGGGCCCCTTCCCTGTGTGGATGGCAGCAGCATAGGCTAATTGAAAAAATGCCTGAATACCTCAGTAGCCTCCTTTTCTCAGTTGTGCATCATTGTTTGACATAAGAAAGTTCATAATGGAGTGTTATTTTCCAGATCACCAACACACATTGCAGCAAAGGAACACCTCATGTTCATCCACTCTGCATGGAGGACCCCATCAGCTCTGCTTCCCAGATGATATGAGTCTCTCATATGGGTTACAGGGACCCACATACTTCAGCCATCACTCCCTCCAAAAGTGCATATTAGCATAAAGCTGGAATTGAGAGTTGTGACTGTAACCTAGGCATGCCAATATAGGATGTGGACATACTAAGCAGGGTTGTAACACATGCCAAATGTCAATCCCTCAGTGAATTTTTGAAGTGCCTCTGTATATCCAAGGCTTTCAGAGAAAGGAGACAGAGCCTTCTGGGCCCTGCCCATTTACTACATAGTTTCTGCTTCTCCCCAACATTGCACACTGCTTCATGTGTCTCTCTCTGTGCACGCTCACTTCTGAGGTCTATTCATGCAGACAGGGAAGAGCAGCAGAACACAGAAGAGTGGGTCTGGGAGACAAGGCAGATTAGGGAAAAACTGCACTGTGACAGTTTCTGCCTGGATCCTGCCACTTAGTGTTTAGTGACCACATCTGAAGCAGAGGAAAATTGTTCATCTACATGCCAAAAACTGAAATATAATATCTTTATATTACCCAGGCATGAAAGTCAAATCAAAATGAATTGAAGGCTTACATAAAAGGTCTGAGAATATAAAACCCCTTACAAATGGAAGCAAATTCATTGATATTAGTCTCAACAATGATTGTTTAGATATGACACTACACGCAGAGGTGACAAAAGCAAAGACTGAAAAAAATCTAAGAAATATTCTGCATGTGATAGGAAAAACAGAACAGATAAAGCAAGAAATGAAGAAAACATTGGACAACCTGAGTTTGAACACAAACAACTCAAAAACAAATATTGTAATAAAAATTGCACAAAGGATTGATCAGTTTTCCATTGAATATATACAAGTAGCCAACAGGTAACTTAAAAGGGGTTCAGAAACAGCTAATGAAGACTACAATGCTAATTAAGACCACAGTGATTATCATCTCATATATGTTAAAACAATTATCCAAAAGTAAAAAGATAACATTGTCCCAGGGTGGAAAAAAGGAATATAAAAATTGTTGCTGAGAAAGTAAATTGGTACATCCAATATAGAAAACATTATGTAGGTCTTCAATCAAAATTAAACATAGAACATATGACAAAGCAATCTCACAACTGCGTGTATATCCAAAGGAAACCAAATCAGTATCTCAAATAGATACCTTTATCTCCATATTACTGGCAGCATTATCTACAAGAACAAGATATGGAGACAACCCCACTGTCAACATATGAATAAAGAAAATGTGATAAACACACATACACAGGAATCACAGACAACCTTAATAAGGAAATTCTTCCATTTTGTCAGGATGTGGATCCAAAAATATGAATGTGGACATTAGGCTATTTGAAATAAGGCACAGAAAGATAAATGCCACACAATATCACTCATATGTGTAATCTAAGAAAGTCACACTTAATCACAGAATAGAATGGTGGTTGTCATGGGCTGAGAGTGAAGGACATGGGAAAATGTTAGCTGAACACACATTTGCAGCTATGAGATAAATTAACAAAATTAACACCTCAAGACCTTAATATTCAACACAGTAAATAGTTGATTATGATATCACATACTCACAACTTGCTAATATCTTCCATATTCTTTAATAACATAGGGATGTAATGTGATGGATATATTAGATTGTCTTAATCATTTCACAATGTATATGTACAAGAGGATTCCAGAAAGTTTATGAAAAAATGTAATCAAACGATAATGTGAATTGTCCATAACTTTTTAATGTCCCTCACATAGCAAAACATCAGTTTTCATACCTTGATGATACACAAATTGTGTCAGTCATACTCTGACAATCTTGAAAAAATTAAAACAAGCAAAACTAAACAGGCTCCTATATTAAAATGTAAATCCAAAATAACTTAGTAAACTAGACATATCTACAGGATTTGGAAGACTTTCATGCAAGAAAAATCATTTTTAAAACACACATAAATTTGAGTGGTCAAAATTCTATTTCGAAAGTGCAAATAGAGATGGCACCCTGTACAGAGAAAGTGTAAGTGCTAAGACGTTGCCCAAGTACCAAATTACAGGGTCTTTCTGCTTCTCTAAAACCTGGGTGAAAACCCCAAGCCAAATAAAACTTCTGTTTCTACCTTACTCAGTCTATGTTACTGTGATATTGGAAACATATGAAGGAGTGAGACATCCTAGAAACAGCTGTGTAAAGAGGTCAATGCCCTGGAAAGTACCCTGCAGGCCACATATTGAGAAAACTCGGGGGAACCAGGTGCCTGTGGGGAGGGAAGGAGGAACCGACAGCACCTGTCCCGCATGAACCACATACACAGAGCCCACATTCTCCCTAGAGACCACCCAGTCCCCACTGCACAATCGGGGGAGACGTGCAGCTACTGCCACATAGCTGGCCTGCTATGTCTCTGGGCTGAGAAGTCTCACCCAAGCAGGGAAGGGGCAGGACCTCGGGGGTCCTGGGTGCCGGTAAAGCCCCCAACCCACGGGTCTGAGGGGACCGAGGGGAAGCCCTGTGCCAGCGCCAATATGGAGCCCACAGATGCTGGAGGCCTGTGTCCTCCTGGCCTTCGGCTCCGTTTTCCCCTCTCAGTACAACTAGGTCCACACACTCACCATGTCGCTGTTGTCAGCTTCCTAGGTGCCCAGCGTCCCCGGTGAGTGAAGGTGGAGAGCTGCAGAGGTCGACTTGCTTGGGAGCCTCCTGGTGGCAGAGCTGTCTCCCAGGAGTTCACTCTGCAGACAAAACTCGGAGAAGATTGTGATGTCAAGTCCCCGCGTGCTGATGCACTGTGGACGTCACCTTGCCTGATTGGACAGGTTGACAGCCTTGAGTGCACGGAACGTCACAAAGCACGGAGCCAATCAGCGTCCCCCATAGCAAGGACCCCTAACTTCAAGTTGTCCTGGATGGGAACAGCGAGAGACAGACCTGGGTTCAGGTCTGAAATGGCCACCCCTGGGCTCTGCCTCCCCGAAGCTGGAGGACTCTCACCTCCGAGCTCCTGCTACCCACTGGCCTCGCCTTGGTTCCCCGTCCTTCTCCCTGCGGATGCTGCCTGGAGCTGGCGGTAACCTGTAGCAGTGAGTTACAGTTCTGTTTATCCGATTCCGGCGCTTTCGTTTTCCTTGTATTTCTGCTCATTCTGTTGGGTCGTTTGTATTACTTATTGATTTGAATAACACTTAGATGTAACATAATTTACTCTTTTTTTTTTCTTTTCTTCTGTTTTCTACTCTGCCTATTGATCTTTTATATTTTCTAGTTATTTCTTGCTGGCACTTGGTAATCTAATGGATTTTTAAACATTGATCTTTCCCACAACATTAAATTCATTTATCAGTTTATTTGTTTTTAGATTTTATGGATTCTCCCTAAATAAATATCTCCAATATATTGGCAATTTATTGTTAAGAAATTGATCTTTACATCTTATTTTATTTCTTTTTGCTCTCCCCCTCGCCCCCAACTACTCCTCCAATAAGAAGTTGGCACTAGTGGAGACTTCCTGGTCTAGGTTTACTTCCAGGGTAAAAGCTCTCAATGATTCTGTATTAATTGTGGTTTTCGTTGTAGGATCCTTTTAAAAATTTTTGATCTGAATAAGAAAGCCATTGCTCTTTTTTACTATACTGCAAGCACTTTTTAAAAATTACATGCTAATTTTTGCAAACTATGCAACAGATAAAGGGTTAATAACCAGAATCTACAAAGAGATCAAGAAACTCCACAAAAACAAAACCAACAACCCACTTAAGAGATGGGCCAAGGACTTCAATAGACATTTTTCAAAAGAGGAAATCCAAATGGCCAACAGGCACATGAAAAAATGTTCAAGGTCATTAGCAATCAGGGAAATGCAAATCAAAACCACAATGAGGTTTCACCTCACCCCAGTTAGAATGGCTCACATACGGAAATCTACCAACAACAGATGCTGGCGAGGATGTGGGGAAAAAGGGACACTAACCCACTGTTGGTGGGAATGCAAACTGGTCAAGCCACTATGGAAATCAGTCTGGAGATTCCTCAGAAACCTGAAGATAACCCTACCGTTTGACCCAGCCATCCCACTCCTTGGAATTTACCCAAAGGAGTTTAAATTGACAAACAAAAAAGCGGTCTGCACCCTAATGTTTATTGCAGCTCAATTCACAATAGCCAAGAACTGGAACCAACCTAAATGCCCATCAACGATAGACTGGATAAAGAAATTATGGGATATGTATTCTTTAGAATACTATACCGCAGTAAGAAACAACGAAATCCAGTCATTTGCAACAAAATGGGGGAATCTGGAACACATCATGCTGAGTGAAGTAAGCCAGTCCCAAAGGGACAAATACCATATGTTCTCCCTGATCAGTGACAACTGACTGAACACCAAAAAGGAAACCTCCTGAAGTGAAATGGACACTATGAGAAATGGTGACTTGATCAGCATAGCCCTGACTGTTAATGGACAACTTAATACATTATCCCTCCTAGTATTTTTTTTTGTCTGTTCTACTTAATATGACTGGTTTAATTCTGCAATTATCACACAGTTATTCTTAAGTGTTGAAAATTAACTGAAATGTGATCCCTGCTAAACATAAGAGTGGGAATAAGAGAGGGAAGAGATGTATAACTTGGGGTATGCTCGGGCTGACTTGCCCCAATTGGTAGTTTTGGAAACATACCAGGGGATTCCAGTTCAATCCCATCATGGTGGCATGTGCCAATGCCATCTCACTATTCCAAGTGATCAATTTCAGTTCACAATTGATCATAATGAAAGGACTAAGAGTCAAAGGGAGCACATAAACAAGTCTAGTACCTGCTAACACTAACCGATAGAATAAAGGGGAGAGTGATCCAACATGGGAAGTGAGATACTCAGCAGACTCATAGAATGGCGGATGTCCTAAATAGCACTCTGGCCTCAGAATCAGAACTAAAGGCACTCGGATCTGGCTGAAAAGCCCATGAGAGTATTTCAGGCATGGAAAGCCAAGACACTCTGGCAAAAAGATCTCTGTGAGTGAGATCCCAGTGGAAAGAACAGGTCTTCAAAGAAGGAGGTACCTTTCTCTGAAGGGAGGAGAGAACCTCCACTTTGACTATGACCGTGTCTAAACGAGATAAGAGTCGGAGAACTCAAGGGGCTTCCATAGCCTTGGAAACTCATGACTGGAGCATAGGGAGATTACTGATGCCATAGACAGGAGTGTCAATTTGTAAAGTCAACAACAGGAGTCACTGTGCACTTACTCCTTATGTAGGATCTCTGTCCTTAATGTGCTGTACATTGAGGCTTAATGCTATAACGAGTACTCAAACAGTATATTTCACTTTGTGTTTCTATGGGGGTGCAAACGGTTGAAATCTTTACTTAATGTACACTAAACTGATCTTCTGTAAAAAAAAAAAAAAGAAAAGAAAAAAAAAAGCAATTATCAATTCCCAACTTGACTCTCACTGGGATTAAACATGACAATAGGTCTGATCTGATTTCATCATCATTTAAAAAAAATCATCTATTATTTTTCACTTTATGTCTCTGTGTGGGAGCAAACTGTTGAAATCCTTACTTAAGGTATACTAAGCTGATCTTCTGAATATTAAGATAATCGAAAATGAATCTTGATGTGAATGGAAGGGGAGAGGGATTGGGAAAGGGGAGGGTTGTGGGTGGGAGGGACGGTATGGGGGGGAAGCCATTGTAATCCATGAGTCGTACTTTGGAAATTTATATTCATTAAATAAAAGATAAAAAAAAATTACATGCTGATTTTTAAATGTTTTTGAACATTAAATTGTCATGTGATTTTCTCCTTGAATTTTTCACCTACCTGGAAAATTTACATGACTTGTTAAGAAATGTTAACCACCTCTTGTATTTTTTATTATATGTGACTTGTTATTCATTATATTTTCATATGTGATTTCATTTATTATAAAAATACTAAGGATTTATACATCTGTATATGAAAGAGAGTTTATACTTAATTTATATTGAAAGTTCTAGTCAACCTTGCATCATTATCAATGTAATGCTAGCTTTCTAAAAGAAATCTGAAAATATGCTTTGCTTATTTATACTTTGATACATCTGAGAAATATAGGTGTTTTTTTATTTCTTAAATGTTTGAAATATTTTGTGTTTCTATAACTGAAGTTTTGCTTCTCTAACTGTTTTATTGGCTGGTGGCCTTCAAATTGGGATTCAACTTGCTTGTTTTAATTTGGAGTTTTCCTATTTTATACTTCTTATATTGGATTTTAGGAATTTATATTTGTGTTTGGGAATTTGATTTTCAAAGTATAGTGGATTTTTATCTCTAGTCAAGTTTTTATCCTAAGAGTTTTTTTTTTTTTTGACATGCAGAGTTAGATGGTGAGAGAGACAGAGAGAAAGGTCTTCCTTCCATTGGTTCACCCCCCAAAATGGCCACTATGGCCGGAGATACACCGTTCCAAAGCCAGGAGCCAGGTGCTTCCTCCTAGTCTCCCATATGGGTGCAGGACCCAAGGACTTGGGCCATCCTCCCCTGCCTTCCTGGGCTACAGCAGAAAGCTGGACTGGAAGAGGAGCAACTGGGATAGAATTTGGTGCCCCAACCGGGGCTAGAACTCTGGGTACTGGTGCTGCAGGTGGAGGATTAGCCTAGTGGGCTGCGGCACCGGCCTTACCCCTAAGAGTTTTACAATATTTTTTTCTGATCTTGACAAAGCTCTTTTCTCTGTAAACAATTGTTTTAATACATGAAAATGGACACTAGTGTTACTTTTCCCTGTGTTTCCTCAATTATTTTTACTCATAGTTTATTTTGTTAAAATTAAAAAGCATATCCTGGGACTGATGCTATGGCATAGTGGGTAAAGCCACCACCTGCAGTGCTGGCATCCCATATGGGCCCCAGTTCAAGTCCCAGTTGCTCCCCTTCATATCTAGCTCTTTGCTATGGCCTGGGAAAGCAGTAGAAGATGGCCCAAGTCCTTGGGCCCCTGCACCCATGTGAGAGACCTAGAAGAAGCTCCTGAATTCAGATAAGGGCAGCTCTTGCTGTTGCAGCCATCTGGAGAGTGAACCAGTAGATGGAAGACCTTTTTTCTCTCTCTGCCTCTGCCTCTCTGTAACTCTGCCTTTCAAATATATAAATAAATCTTAAAAAATATTTCCAGAAATGAATGATAAGATCCTCTAGGCACACCAGGGTTAGAACAAAGCATGTGTGAAGCCTCCCAGATTGCAGAGATGCATACAAATTGAACTTGGTGAGTCATAACATCGATTGCATTCACCTTTGAATAAAGACATCTGTGAATGAAGGTTCACTACAACAATCATACCCAAGACCAAACATTCTCAGCTTTGGTGACTATTAGAATCATCTAGGCAGCTTTTAAAACACATTGATCTCCAGGGTAAACCTGGGACCAATATAATCATAGTCCCTGGAGGTGGGAAACTAGGCATAGTATTTTTAAAATCTGTCCTGTGTGATTCCAATATGTAGTCAGGGTTGAGAGCAGCTGATGATGACAGTCACACTGCCTCCTTTCCAGATGCATTTTAGATTTCCTATTATGCACATTCCAGATTTCCAAGATGATATACATTCTCAGATTTAAATCCCTGTGAAGGTCTCACATGTATCAGTTGAATATTGCTGCTTAAGAGAAATGACAATTCCTTATTCATATTGGTCAGAGTTGGGGGAGAGATGAGGGAGAACAGAAGAGATTGAACAATGAGAAGCAGAACTGAAATGCATTTTTGGCAGCCCATGGTTTGTCACCCTGAGTTTGAGCAGCTTTCCTG